TGGCCGTAACCAACCGGTACTCGTCTGGCATGCCCGGCGCGATTTGAAGAGACGACGAGATGTCACTGCCGCCGCCTTCGAGAATGTCGATCTCGGGGGACCCGCGGCCCATGTTCGGGTGCAAGCCGTAGCCGGGGTTGGGGTTGCAGGCGCTAATGCGCTGAGACGAATCGTAGCGCTCGTCGCACTCGCTGTAGGTCCATGGCCACATGCGGTTGGTCGATGCCGCAAAGAGCGCGCGACCGAGGTTGCCCATCATCCAGAGACCCGGCCACGTCGGGTAAAACTTGATATCGGGGATGCGGTCGAGGAACTGCACGGGCATATCGCGTTGGAGGTTGCCGTCCCAGCGCTTCCCCGTGATATGGGGGTTCATCGACGCACGGGTCGCACCAGGCATCTTGGCTGAAATCTCGACAAACCCGCCTTGGATACAAAACTTGTTCCACGTTTGCATCATGGCCGCGCGATAGTACTAGTCGACAGGTTAGTTGCATGCACCAACACTATGTAGACAATATGTACCATTGTCTTGGTCGTCCATGACGGTGCATCTGACCACACGTTGTAGTACGTGACGTTGGTCTCAGTCGCGTCGACGCGGATCTGAAACGTGCCATTGACCGTGAGCGCATTCTCGGGGGTGTAGACGCCCACAGCGCGGTTGACGCCATCGGGAATGTCAAGGGCGACCCAGAGATGGTCATGGCCGGCCGTAAAGTTGCGGCCGGCCAAGTTGAACTCGTCGCTCATGACCAAGTCCCACGGATCGCCCCGAGAACTCGTCATTGTGTGAAACTCGTCCGGAGTCTCGACGTCGACCCACATCTTGACGCCCGACTTGGTTGGCAGCGTTGGGTCGTTTTGATCGAGCGCGTCGGCCACTTTCCAAGCAAGAAACAGACAAACGGACGTCGTCGCTCGACCCATAGTTGCACGACGACGACGATGATCAAGTCGAAGAATGAATGAACTGGGGAATGGAACGTAATGGCACCACAACGTATCGAGAGTGTGATGGTGGAATGTACGGTGCCTGGCTCTCCATGCACGTCGCAGTCGAATAATGGGAGGCAGTATGGGTGATAGTAGGTCTCAGACCACGAGACGCCACCGGCTTTGGCTCTTTTTGGATCCAACTCGTACACTTATACCACTTTTGAAGCGATGTCGGACTATGGATGCCGTTCATTTCGTTGTAACGCAATCAGCTCTATATGAAGAGAGTTGATCATCAACGAACTCGAAGCACCAGGACTACCACCAAAATACGCTTTAAGTAATTGGTGATACCTAGCAATTCCTCGATAGACGACGTTCCCACGAGCATCTTGTAAGGGCTAAGCAGTGCCACAGGGCTCAACGACACAAGAGACGCTACAGTACGTACTAGGTACGTTCCATCGGATACGACTACGCTCCTGGGCGACATAACGTCAACAATGCTTGGTTCTCGCACGAGCTCAAAGAGCGGGTTGGTGACGCTACGCGGCGACGAAGCATGGGTCAAGTCGATACGTGCGTGCTTGCTGGACGACCTCTGCCGCATTCACTCGTACCAGTGGAGATGCTTCGAGTCCGCGGTGCAATCTATCGTGTTGGCTAATCTCTCCAGTCTACAGAAAACGTTTTCGCGCAAGTTAGCAACGTGTGCAATGCAATAGCCTTCGTTCCGACCTTGAAGTCACTGTCGCAAGATGCCGACGGCTGCTTTACATTATTGTCAAATCGCATTGTGAAGTGCTCATTTGCGCAACGGTGAGAGATGCGCGCTCAAAACGCAATAGGCTTGTCGCCTGCCTTCCGTATGGTTGCCTGCGCCATTTCATCCATTTAACGATAATCAGACTATTGATGTTTCCTATTTATCATTTATTTATTTACATATTTCATCACTTTTACCAAGAAATGACACAATGGCCGAGTGGTCTAAGGCGCTGGTTTTAGGCACCAGTCTTCGGGCGTGGGTTCAAATCCCACTTGTGTCATACTTTTTATTTTTGCAAACATTTCCCGTGCCGTCCAAGTTTCTCAAAGGGTGAAATGACCCATTCCTAGTATTACCTGTCCGTGCACCAGTGCAATATTGTGCCAAGGAATGGGCAACCAAACAGAACGTCTTGATTGAGAGTGTGGACATTTCGTCTCTTTGACGAGGTCGTGCAGAAAGGACATCGGGCGCCTCGTCAAGCGGTTTCCTTGCAGCCCACACGCTCCAAGAGTGGGTATTTTGCTAATAGAGTAGACAAGTTGGTCGACTCGCCCCACTGGCAGTGTTTTGGCGATGCAGGGACGGCGATGCTATAGCTCAGATGGACGACGCATGCTCGGCGGTGTCGGAGCAGCAGCGACGATCATCCAATTTATCGATCTTGGCGGCCACGCTGACCATGCTGCGACGGACTGCAACGTCCCCGCGGGTAATTAAAACCTTTAGACCAACACGATTGCCACTACCTCAACGCGATGCAATTGAAGTCGTGCTTCGTGAGGAGCGAGGACTGGACTTTCACGATTTTACCGGCATCAGAGGACCATAAAGACCATCAAACAAAAATCCCAGTAGTAGAGAAAGAGGTTTCCAACAAACGGAGCGTACGAATATGACAAGAAACCTTGACCAGGAAAAGAGCATCTCTAGCAAATTCTCCACCTCTGTGTAAATCCATCAACGGTCATGGGTATCACTCAATTTCGCTACTCACACGACACGTGCTTGCTCCACTCGGCGTCAGCAACCTGGACCTCATTACAACAGAGCGCACATGTTTCTAAAATAATGTACACATTGTGTTATAGTTTTACTAGAGTGGTGTTTCTAACAGGCGACTTGTTTACGCCTTTTCGTAGGCGGTGGTAGCATCGACGTCGTGCTCGTCCTCGCCAGCGATAAACGACTTGCGCGTCTCGTCGTTCTCGAGCGCGAGCTTGGCCTTGAACGCGTTGTCCATGACGCTCGCCTCCTCGTTGTTGTCAAACATGCAGAACCACGTGAGGACAAGCGCCGCCAAACAGATGCCGGCAAACGTGTACCACGTGCCGACGTAGCCAAAGCTCGGGTTGTCGACCCAGCGCGCAAAGCCGTATGAGCCGACAGCAGCGCCGGCCTTGCCCATGGCGGCCGAGAAGCCGTGGCACGAGCTCTTGATGGCCGTCGGGTACATCTCCGTGGGCATGACGAACGTCGACATGTTGGGGCCAAAGTTGGAGAAGAAGAGCGTCAAGCCAAAGAGAATGATGAAGACCGCGCTCTGGTCCTTGATCGTGTCCCACCAGATGCCGAGCACAAGGAAGATGATCGTCATACAGATAAGGCCCTGGAGCATGATGCGCTTGCGGCCCATCTTGTTGATGAAAAAGCACGCGACGTAGTAACCCGGCAGCGCCACGAGCGAGATCAAGACGTTCTGGAGCGCGATCGTGTGGAGCGTCGAGTTGGCGCCAATCACCGAGAGGATCGACGCCGTAAAGAGGTTTTGCGCGTAAAACACAATGTCAAAGAGGAACCACGTGCCGGCCGTGCCGAGGAGGCTCTTGCCGTAGTGCTTGAGGATGAACGACCAGCGGATCTTCTGGACGTGGACTTCTTCAGCCATCATCGTCTTGTACGCTTGGGTCTCTTCGGCCGTGATGCGGTAGTAGACAAGGAAGAGCGCCGGGAGGACACCGATGCCAAAGAGCACGCGCCACATGATCTCGAGGTTCTGGGTCGTCGGGTCCATCGCGTTGACCATGATCAAGCCAAAGACACCAGCAATGAGGAAGCCGACACCCTGGAGCGAGAACGTGAGCGAGACGCGGCGGTTGCGGTCGGCGGGCGACGTGGCATCTTCCGACGACGACGACGCCGCGAGCGGGTACTCGCCGCCGATACCGAAACCGAGAACACCACGGGCAACGACGAGGAACCAAAGCGTGCCGAGGGCCGAACCGCCGTAGGCCGCCGCACAGAGGATACCACCGACGATGAGGAGCGCACACGTCGCAATCATGCAGTTCTTGCGGCCGTACATGTCACCGAGGACGCCGAAGACGAGCTGACCGAGGACGGCGCCAATGAGTGCGGACGTCGAGACGTTCGACTTCATCGAGCTGTCAAAGACACTCTTGCCGTACTGGTGCTCCAAGATGACGTTGACGATGTTGATGACCGAGAGATCGTACGCATCGTTAAAGAAGCCGAGACCGCGGAGGAAGAACTTGTTCACCATCGGTGCGGAGGACGAGTGAAATTGGTGAATGAAAAACAGAACGCAGCTTCCGAAACAAGCCGCCGTGTGGTGCATTCGATTCGTGGTTGGATCTCGCAACCCATGCTCCAGCAAGCTCCTTGGGCTGCCACATTCACACCACTCGGTCTTAGTATGCAGTCGAATCTGGCCAAGATGTCACGTCGGCTCGCCCTGGGTGAGACAAGGTGTTGATGAAAGGGTAAGCGACACGCATCGAGGCGCGGCACCCGTGTCGACCAATCCGATCGCGCGTGTTCTGGAATGCTCCAATCATATACCTTGTGGCGAACCATGGACCAATGAACTTCAATCTTCACGTGTCGCGCGAAATGTCCAAGGACAGACCAATCAAACGCGTGGGCTGTTTTTCTCCACGAATCAAATGGTTTGTGTTTCGATGCACCAATCATAGCGCTTTACATCCCATTATAGGCCAATCAAATGCGTGGAATAGCGGCGTCTGTATCTTCGCCAGCGGCCTCCTATACGTGGTGAATCGAGGCGCCGACACCAGTCGTTTGGGAGGATTGCTGAGGACCGCACTGGCGTGGTTGATGGAACCCATTAGCATGGGTGCGACCACGCTGCAACCAAAAGCATTGAATTCCGAAGTGAATTCTGGAACGAACAACGAGCTGCCGTGGCGCGACCGTGCTGCATTTGTGGTGACGACATACGTTATAACACGGCGTCGTCCCCAAACATAACAGTGTTAGAACATTGGGTTGTTCCGGCGACAGACCTTCTGCCGCGGTTGGCATGCATGCCGGCATGCCGTCGTTGGCTCCGCCGTGGGATCACTCTCACATGTGATGTGGACAGCACATTCAATAAGTACCGCTGCTGCGGAATCTGGTTGTGCCTGCTCCGACGATAGAATCAGATTCGGTGGTCTCGTGGACATTCCTTTTGGGCTCGGGAATGTCAAGACCCGCGTGACTAGAGTCCGTGCGTTGATAATTCATTTGTACTCGTCACATGCGCCGTGGGTGTCGTGTGCCCCTTCTCGTCTCAACTGTTTCGAGCGTTCAAGCAACTTTGCCGTCCGAAGACGGCGCAACGAGTCCGTATTCCGGTGGTCCCTCATTTGGTAGTAAGGGGACAGCAGAATGAGCTTCACCAAAGGTGGTGCGGTGCAACCCTGCAAAGGAACCATTTCAATGCAATGCCACTTGCAGCTCATTGAAAACCAAAAGCGGACGCTTGGAGCTTTGGACTGTGTCAAGGAATCTGGCGTCGAATCTTGGCCCATGGACTCAGATTCAAAACGACCCTTTCCTCAGCACGTTTTTGGACTTGGACGACGACAGTCGTATTTGTTGGGGTCACGGTGACGACATCAGGCACATGGTGCCCTCTGCACCAGGGTACTTCTGTTGTCGCGACCACCGACGGTTTTTTGCGTTGCGCAAAAAGCAAAAAGTGTGGACGTGCTATCTGCTTCAATGCATGTGTTGTTGACATCTCTTGCATCAAACCGCAACAATGAATTACGTAAAACAACTAGGACGTGTACAACTAGTACGAATAGTTGTATAACGTAATTCATTGTTGCGGCTTGATGCAAGAGATGTCAACAACACATGCATTGAAGCTGGTACTCGGTCGCCTCGTTGCCAAAGCAACTCGACTTCGAGACGGTTTCTCATGCACTTGGACGTCGGCGAGGAATCCTTGTGGACTGGAATTATCAATGTATCAATATGCGCTTGTCCATCGTTTTCGGGTGCAAACCGACAGCATGGCGGATAGCAGATAACGCTCCAAACGGCTCCATCATTGCCCGCTCGACCTCTTGGACATTTCATCTTATTGATGTCGACCAACGATTCCATTCAACGATTGTGCGAACGTGCCAAAGCCACCGACGAGGCCGGCCAGCGCGAGGCCGCCATTGCCTACTACGACGACGCGATTCAAGCGCTGCAGCAGCAATATGCGTCCATTGCACCAGGTATACATTCGTACTCGGCGGCGTTTCATGCCCAAACTCTGTCTCTAGAGGACACGACAAGCAAGGTGCGCGTGGCCAATGCGCTGCAGCAGTGCCTCGACCGACGCCTCGCTCTCCAACAACGGGAGGCGCCACGCATCGAAATCACACCGCGGACACTCCAGACGGCTATGGCCGCGCAGTCGGCTGCAACACGTACGCAACATGTTCCGCGTCTACGCTATGTACTAGCTGTCTGGGCAGAGGGCGTGCACAAGGCGGGCGGTGGTAAGACCGTGCTCGGGTCGGCTGTGGCCGGCGCTGGCCTCGGGCTATGCGTTGCAGGACCCTTGGGGCTCATGGCCGGCGCGGTCGGCGGCGCTGTGTTGACAACAAAGAACGGGGCGACAGGTACTACTGCACCAACGATTCTCTCTGGTGATATGCAAGCTTAACGCTGGTGTTCCCTCCTAGGTGACATTGCACGCGCGACGGGCAACCTCGTGGCAGCGTCGTATGAGAGCGCCAAGGTCATCAACAACACATACCACGTGACGGACCGCGTCAAGAGCGCGGCCAAGAGCGCAGTCGCGACAGCCCAGGACCTCGATGCCAAGTACAAGGTAGTAGCTTCTTCGACATGTCGAATCAGATGGACAAGGTGTTCACTCGGAGCAGATCAAGGACACGACCGCGAGGCTGCTCGAGAGCGGCATCAAGCACGCGACTATCGTGAACGATAAGTACCAACTCACCGACCGTGCGGCGAAAGCGACCGTGAGTGGGATGAACAAAGCATCCGAGATCCTCCGCGACAAGCAGAAATAACGAGTACTAGAGATATCCCCACCAATCCCAGTCCCATAACATACACTGGCGACGTCCCAACTGCCTGCTGCCATAATGTCGCGCCGACCGAATACAAGTCGCATCGTCAAGACGAATAGTTCATTCGGCACTCGATGCCTTCACCACGACACGCTGCTCACAACAGCCGCCATCGTCGTCGTTGCAGAGCGCTGGACTGCTACGAGAGGCACCCGCCTTTACACGTCACTTGTTGTTATCTTACGCGACTGGCGTCGACGTAACTTCAGCCGCCGTCTCGGTCGTCGGGGCGGACTCCTGTGCCGTAGCGACTTCCTCGGTCGCTTCGTCGACCTTCTCCGCGGCATCGGCACTCTCCGAGCCCTCGACGGCGTCGACCGTCGGCTTCTCGCCGTCCGATTGTCCGTCGTTCGGAGAAGTCGCTTTTTCGTCCGCCTCGTTGCTCTCAGCCTTCTTCGCTTTGCCGTTTGCCTTGGCCGACTTCTTCGCGGGCGCCTTTTTGCCGCCCTTCTTCTTCGGGGCCGGCTTGGCCGTCACCTCGGGCGCTGCTTCCTCGGCCTTGGCCGACTCTTCTTCCGTCGGAAGCGTAAACGTGCTGGCGTCTGCAGCGGCGTCAACACCTCGTCCAAGTCGTGGGCAATGAACGTAATACCCGTGTAGGCAGGAAGAAAGTACTGCTGCTTGCGCTTTTGCAAAAACTTGAGCAGCTGCACCATCGTCGCTTGAATCAAACGGCTGTCCTAGAGTCAGTGGCGTTGGCATCGATATATCCATCGAGTGGCGGTCGGACCTCGGCCGAGAGACTGGCTTGGACGCACGACACGAGCAGCGGCAGTCGCGCTACGTAACCCCTCGATACAGGTGATCGACAGCCCACAAGTCATACCAAAGAGCCGGAGGAGGTGCTCGCCTCCATAGATCGTCGCCAGCGGTCTACGGCTCCATGAGTGCCATGGAAGTACGGCGTCAAGCCGTTGTACGTCTCGGGGTGGGCGGCCAGGATCATATCGTACTGCGGCCGCTCATCGCGGTAGAGCAGAATACACCCCACGGCCTTGTTGAAGTACGTCACGAGCCCCTTGATGATCTCTTTGGTCGACTACGCAAGTGAGTTGTGATGCAGAAGGGACGCGACGTTGGTACCTCGCGCTCGGTCACTTGCTTCTCCGAGAGTTCGCCTTGGGTCAAAAAGTCGTCGATAATCTACGGAATTGTGGGCAACCAAAGTCTTATTGACTGCACCTTGGACACGGGGGTCTTGCGAGGAAGCTCAATCCAGCGCTCTTGCTGCGTAACGTTCTACGCGCTTCTGATCGAAACATAGCAAACGACGAGGCGAAAGCGTACCTTCCAGTCGTCGACGAGGATCTTCTTGAGCGCAATCGGGATCGGGATCTGCACGTCGACAGCAGCGACCAACTACACGCGGTGTTAGAGCATACGGCGGTCGCGCGCGTTGTACGTCTTCGAGTTCGTGCGAGCCTTCGACCTTGATGGCCTCGAAAGGGTTCTCGACCTTGTGCTTCTTGCTGGCACCTTGCTTGGGGAGCGGGCCGTTCGCCGCCAGACGTTTCTTTGCCGCGCCCTTCTCCATACGTGAGCCTCGTCCTTTCCCATACGTCGTCGGCTACCTTGGGAGCATTCTCCGCGTCGTCCTTGGCCTGCTTCTGTAGCGTGCGCGAGGCCTCGCTCGTGTCAAGCACGCGCTCGGGCCCGACCCACTCGTCCCACTTTTTCGACCACTTGAGGTAGTGAACAAAGTACTGCGGCGTAGCGCCTACACCGCCGGTCTTAGCCAGGAAGGGCCCACGCGCCACGTACTGTCCGGGTCCAGGCGCAGCACGCGCGCGTCGTAGATCTGCACGCCATGGCGCACAAGCACCGTATCGTTGACGGCAAACACCTTGGTCGTCGTCGGCGCCTTCGTCATGTTGCTCTT